GCCGTGGTGCGGACTACCTGGGGAGGATGGGCTACCAGGGGATTCTCCCTGCTGCAGAGGGGCAGGGCTCCTGGCTACAGGTCGACCACATAGTCCCCTGAATATATCCTGCCTCTGGTGATTCTCTGCCCAGTGCTGGCTATCCTGGTGGCCATGCTGGCCTGCCACTTGGGCCACACAGCCCATCATGCAGGGGTCTGGCTCTAGTGTATTTCCCCCAAGACCCAGCCTCCAGGGGTCTGGCAGACACCCGAGGTCCATGGGAGGCCTGGGCTCCTTCTGGGAGCCTATCCAGGCCGAGGGACGTGAGGCCTTGCTCTTGCTGGAAGAGTCTGCTGTCACGGTGACGGCAGACCTCAGGGAGGAGAATAAGCCTTCTTCCTCAGACACCTGCAAGAGCTCCCGGGAGGGGTCTCTGAAGGGGCTGCAGGTTCTCCATTTAGGCATCCCTGAGACCTTGCTTTCTCTGGCAGGAAGACCTTGGGTTCCTGAACGTGTCCACAGCCCCTGCCCAGTGCGTGCTGAGCAGACGGTGGCCCTTTCTGCATCTGAGGTCCAGTTTCCTCTGCCCTCCAGGCTTTCTGGCCAGGGGCTTGCCTCCACAGAGCCGACTGCTCGCTTTTCCACGGGTCCACCAGAGGCTCTCTTGGGGGAAGATGGGGCTGCAGAATCCCCAGGGGCTGGAACAGGTAGGGGCTGGAGCTCCGGACCCCGACGGAGCCAGTTGATGATCCCCATGGTGATGGAGAGCTCGGTGTCACAGAGTTTCAGCAGGCACTCCGTGCCTTTCCAGGAGCTTTGCAGGAAGCCATGATCAAGCACGTTGGGGCTGGGCATTGGGGCCAGGTTCTCCTCGGCCCCCGTATGGAAGCTGCACATGGATAGGGGTGTACCCATTGTGAGCCCGGACAGACTCTCAGCCACACCCGGGCTGTCGTCTTCGTCGTCGTTCAGACCTGGGCTGCCAGGGCCCTCACTGGGATCACAGAAGAATTCATAGAGGGCATCTCCGCTGTAGCTATCCTGCAGGAAAGGGGGTGCAGGGGTGCCTGGGCTCTGGGCCTTCTTCTTGTCCTCCTCAAGACCTGGGGAGAAGGAGTCATAATAGCCCTCATCACTGGTGGAGACAGATTCGGGTTGCTCACTCTTAGGGGTGCCTGTGTCTATGGAGCTGGCTTTGGAGTCCCTGTGAGGAGTCTTACAGGGGCACAGAGGTAGACTGGCAAGCCCAGCTGTGTCCAACTTGAGATGCTCTCTGCTTGGGGCCTTAGATGCCTCTAGCCATGGGCCCAGCAGGGCATGCTGCTGCTCCACTGAATGATTCACACTGTCCCAGAACTTGGTAAAGCCTGACACCTCATTATGGGTGAGAGATGCCAGCTGATCCAAGCAGGCCTGGGAAGGGACTCTGGGAACCTTGCTTTCAAGGGATTGTGGCTCCTGGACTGGGCATTCGGAGTCCCCACTCAGCTCCAAGCATGGCACTGAGCTCTCATCAGCAAAGATCTCCCCACAGCCTGTGAGGGAGTCAAAGCTCTTGAGGGAGGCCACATCCTCGCACAGGGTCCCACAGAGGTCAAAGGAGGAGTCCAAGGGAAGCTCGCTGTCCTGGCAAAGGCTATCGGACCCTGGTCCCTCTCCCAGGTGGACGAAGGCTGCACGCTGCCCCTCTGTTCGGTCCATCTGGCTCCCAGGCAGGGACAAGGCCTTACTCTTGGTTTCCAGGGCAGCCAAGTTCTCGGGCTTGTTTCTGTGAAGGTGGAATAAGTTCCGAAAGCACTTTTTGGGGCGTTTCAGGGAGATTCTCTTCCGAGGGATGCTCTTAGCCACGGCAGGCACAAAGGGCATCTGGGGCACGAAGTGGCGATAGTCGATCATGCGCTGGCTGCCACAGCCGCCCGCCCGTGTCAGGCTGCTGGGGGACCCTGAGAAGCTGGCACTGCTCGCCAGGGTCTCTGCAGAGGCGGCCCTGGCGCCAGCCCCCAGCGCACTGTCGTGAGTCTTGCTCTTACGTACCAGTTTGAAGGGGGCTCCATAGAAACCCGTGGGCCCTTCCTTGGGGCCGGATTGTGCCCCTTTGTTGGGGACTCTGCAGGATTCTTGGAGGCCTGCCTGGGGACTCTTATCACTCTTATCACCATGGGGTTTCTGCTGCCCTTCCAGCAAGACAGGGCAGAGGCCAAC